GGACACCTTCTGAAATGTAACAAATGTAACTTTCATCAAACCAGAGTTTTCCGGAAGATGCATTGCAAGAACTGCAACAGGACTGGGCACACTGCTCGTTTTTGTAGAGCACCGGCGCAACAAATCTCCCAGGTCCTCGACATTGGAGTAAGCCAGACCTATTATAGGTGTAGCGAAACTGGACACTTCCAGAGGGATTGTCCAATAACAACGAACTCTGGCAAAGATGGAAGAATACTGATGATCACCGCATGAGAAAGTGTCACGGAACCCCTGTAAACAACGGTGCGTTTTCCCAATGAAAATATTTAAAACATAAAACTTTTTATAAATAAATTATACTTTCGTCCGAACAAAACACATCATTCATATAAAAAATAAAGATCCTTGCAAGTGAACTATGATGGCTTAGTGTATACACTAGGTTCATTTATAATTAAGATTTGTAGGCTTAGAGTGAGTGATTCCGCCTTATTTCCTGTTCCTTGTCTGGTTGTGGATTTAGGGCAGAACCACTCAGTCGACTGTCTTTCCAATATTAATTATACATCACTCGTATACACCAAGAGATTATAGAAAGACCTGTAAGGGATTATTTTTCATCATTTTCAATTATCAGAACACTCGTACTATTAGTACTCGCTAATGCGATAAAAAAATTCCGCAGTAGTAATAACAAGGATAAACTGATAGCACTGAAAACAATTACGTAGAATAATTCATCGTTCTAACAATCACTTCTTCCACATCGACTTAACTTATGTTACGATAAGAAGTTCTAACGTCGTCATTCGATGTGGATTGTTTTGGTCCTCACCATACGAATTTTCTATACTACGTAAAGAACCTTCGCCTTAAACAACTGTCTAACAAAATCCTTTCAATTTATAATGACAAACTTAATGCAAACCTTTGTATTGTCTCTCTCTTCAAGACTCAGAAGTACCCATGCGAGGGGTACCACGCCTTTCTAGCTTACTCCATAGACAAGAAACTTAAAGTGAAACACACGGAGGATATTCTGAAAGTCCCTAACCCTCCCGAGGTATCCCCAGTACATCTCCCAGGAATACCACTCGTACAACAAGGCAAGTTCGAGAACAGAGACTAAGGACCCATGCGGTTAACCTATCACTGCTAAGTGTATACGCGAGGGTGGTGTATAATTAATATTTTACATATTTAGGATGTATGATTCCGCCCTATCTCTTGTTCCTTGTCTAGTTGTAGACTTGGGGCATAGTCACCCATCCGACCGTCTTTTTAATCTTAATGATATATGACTTGTATACACGAGACGATGATGGATTGATCAGATATGAGTTCTACCATGAACTTCAAGACAAAAGCTGCCCAGAGCTACGAGTGGACATCCTACCAGTTGGATAAACGTAGTCAAGTAAGCCAAACTCGCACACTCTCTACCGCTCAGAACATAAGATCAGATAGAACCGAAGTACCTACATCTTTCCTAGTTCCTAGTAGCCACTCAGAATTCGAATTTCGGGACGAAATTCCCTCTAACAGGAAAGGATAATGTAACAACCCGTTATTTCAAGTCAAAAATAAAATGTTAAATAAACTTGATTGGTACGAATGAAATAGTAGATATCGTAAAAAGGTTTCCGAAGATATAAAGAATACCGAAATCTGAATTATAACGAAGAAGTTATGACCTATTGAAGTTTCGCGACAGAACCGGCACAACGATGTGTGACGTAAAAAGTGAGTTTACAATCGAATGATTTTTAGCCTTAACAATCAAAATGAAAGTCGTAGAATTCGTTAAACCGAGAACTTCCATAAAAAGAACGTCCAAATCTGACTTCGTATGAAGAAGTTATGATTTTTTTCTAAAATTCGGCACAATAGTATACAACCCAAATTTCGAATTAAAGATCGAGTGATTTTTAGCCGACACAACCTAAACGAGAATCCAAGATCTTGTCATTTGTAGTTCAACGGTAAAAAGACAGACCAAAATGGACGTCGAATGAAGAAGTTATGAATTTTTAACGGACTTTTCCTGTCCCGGTCTGTTAAAAATATAACATTAAAAATAAATTCAAAATTTGCTGACGGAGTCTAAATGAAAGTTGTAAATATTGGTCTCACCTACGTGTGGATATAAAGAACGTCAAAAACGGACCTCGTATGCGAAAGTTACGAATTTTTGAAGTGTGAAAAATAGAAGTACGCCCCGCGTACAAGAGTACGCCCAGCGTACTCGGAAACAAGGTCAGCAATCGGCAACGTCGCCCTTTCCCTCGCATGCAACACGTATTACGCATAGATTGACACATCCGAAGACACCTATGACCGAACACGCAACGTACGAGGGTATGCCCAGCGTAATGAGCAGTTTCGGACCCCCTATAAAAGGAATGCGACGTCTCCGGATTTTCGTTACAAATTTTCTTATTCTTTCACCCTAAAACCTCTCTATAAGCACTCTAAACCACCCCAAAGCCTCGAGAACACCCCCTAACACCCGATCAAAACCCGGAGCCCCGAAATCCTCGAGAAAATAATCTTTTCATGTCGAAACTCTGCCCGCATAGAGCCCTGTTTTTCATCAGAAACTCGCGGTTTCTTCGAGAAAGATCATTTATAGAAACGAAATGCGGCCCAAATCACCACTTATCAAGTGAGTTCATACCCCCATATTTTTCCATGCTTTTTCAATATTTTTAAGGGGGGGGGGAATACAAGTAAAACACAAGAAATCTTGTTATTAAAAATATAATTTACTTATTATGTCTTCTCACCGTTAATAGGTATATTTTATGGAACATGTGAACTATTTTACAAAGTCCAGATTAAAACATGGAAATAAACTTATAAACTATAATAGGTATAATGTATGGAACATGTGAACTATTTTACAAAGTCCATGTTAAAACATGGAAATAAACTTATAAACTATGATAGGTACAGTTTATGGAACAAAGGGATCTTTTTACAAAATTATCTATTATTTATAAAACAGTTTTCACATTATTACTTGTAATGTCGTTGATCTAGTTTGTGAGACATGTGTTCGTGTACTTACATAAGTACCAGTGGAAGTCTCACCTTATAAACCAGAGTCTCCTGGAGGGAGAGCGTGAGTTTGTGTATAGATCTATATGGGACCGACAATCCCACACCTCTACTGTTAGCTACAGTTGGACCGGCAGGTCTGCGGGTGACAAATGTCATAAACGATATTGGCGTCCGATTCACGTCGTATCTAGTATGGTCATAAGAACTCACAAGTAGAAAACATTGATATATTTACGTAGTAATATACTTTTCCTTAAACAATCTCAAGAGATATTAACTATGTGATTACTCGGTATATACAATAGAGTTAGATAAAATTGAAGCCCGGTAGACAGTGGAATGTGTGAATTCCGCCTTATTTCCTGTTCCTTTTTTGGTTGTTGGCTTATGGCAGATTCACCCATTGAACTGTCTGTTCGACCTCGGTTATATACAACTCGTATGTATTAAGTGATCATAGGAGGGTAGTATCGTCGCATCAGGTTTTCAGGGAAAACAAATCTTCAGCCAGTTTAACTTATAAAAAAAACTAGATATCATTAAAGTAAGTATAATAATTACACTTGTGCCTCTCGGTCTTGGAACGATTAAGATAACAAATCGGTTTTATGGAAAATATAGGATTTTCCGGGATAAACATCGTTATTTTTAAAAGCAAACATATTTACAAAAGGTTTAACACTTGTTTACAAACCATTATAACATAAAGGACTTGAAATGGTTAATTTTATAATTCCTTAGTTTATACATCAGAGTTATATATAAATAATATCTGATAGGCAGTGGAATGTGTGACTTCCGCCTAATTTCATGTTCCTTGTTTGGTTGTTGGCTTAGGGCAGATTCACACATTCAACTGTCCGTTCGATATTAGGTTATATATAGCTAATATAAACTAAGTGATTGCAGAAGGAACTATTGTGGTTACCATTCTACTAAAGAAAATATAGGATTTTCTGGAAGAACAGGCGAACTTTTCCAAAGAACAACGAGTATACTTTTCTACAAAAAATACTTATGAACTCACCAACTTTAATGTTGACACTTTTTCAAACCACTTGTATTGTCAGGAACGTTAGTAGTCAGGTACCTCTCAGGTGTTGTGAAGACGAAGCTTTATGTCTTAACTTTTGTTTTACTTTTAATGTTATTCAAGTAATGTTTTGAACACAATGTAAATACTATATTATTAATACGATGGTTGTTGTTACTTTGATTACTATGATGCATGTGTTGTGATACTCTTCATGACGTCCTCCACCCCCGGATGTTTCAGTCGTTCCGGTTTGGGGGTGTGACACTAACTCATACATCCAAACCCTAATTCACCGGTGCCACTAACCTACTCATCTTTAACCCAAACAACTAACTCATACATCCACCCTAATTCACCTGTGCCGCTGACCTACCGAGATCTAACCCATACAACTAACTCATACATCCAACCCCAATTCAACTGTGCCACTGACCTACCCAGCTCTAACCGGCCCATACAACTAACTCATACATCCAACCCCAATTCACCTGTGTCGCTGACCTACCCAGCTCTAACCCATATTTGATCTCAAATTTATTAATAAATTTGTAATTCTATTTTTGAATAAACCCATACATAGATATATAGTAATATACAAATTAAAAATTAATTTTTCATTTATATGGTTACATAAAAAACATAAACATTGATGAATATGATAATTAATTAATACTATATTAATATATTATACATATATATTTATAAATAATCATCATCATCACCGTCGTTCGAACTACTCCTCATCTGCAATTAGTCTAAACTTAATGATGATACTCTGCATCGATGTCTCTTCAGCTGCGATTCCTCATCCCTGTAAACCCTCCGACTATATAAAAATGTTCATTCTCACACTTGGTAGACACGAACCTTCATCACTAACTGACGATCATTTAAAAAGAAAAAATTTCTTGATCGATCAATGGCAGGACAGACGAGCACGAATCCATGGGAGAAGAAAAGGTTTCAACTGTGGAGCATTAAAAAGGAATCACCGACCACAACTCGAATTCTGCAATATGGGAAAGGTAACGATAATAAAATAATGATTAGAGTGGTTCATGGAGGAAATTTTACCGTTTTTCCAGGTAAATCATATGCAAAAACATCATTAGCATATATTACTTGGGTCAACATCGAATTGCTGGACATGGATTTTGCTAGGAAGATTTTCTAAAAGTTTGGGTTATGAGACTTTTTGTTACTGGTCTTATATGTGAACTGAAGAGCATCCGGGGTTGACCATGACCCCTATTATAGACGAGAATGTGTTGGGAAATTTCAAAATGATGGCTAGGGAACACAAATTTCGTCAAATTTAACACTTTTATGTAGAGCACAATTCTAAAAATGTGCCAATGAATTTCCCTCACTACTTGATGAACTCACCATCGAAGAGGATAGAAAATGTTATCCATCTCTTGGTTATAGAACACCCAAGAGCAACAGTTGATGATGAAATTGCATACATCAAGCAAATGCTGAACATGACAATTCCAAGAGAAAATATTGAAGATGTGATGGACATGGCTAAAGAGAATGTCGTTTCATGGAAAATGTTGTAGTGTAGGCAAGTTTAATCCGTTTTAGTTAAGTTAGCTTAATCGTCGTTAATATGATATATATGCTATGAAAATGTGGATGTAACACAACATCCAATATTATAGTTATTTTGAAACTCTTTTTTTATTATGGTAATATAATATCAATGTACTTTGGTTTTAATTCTCAAATTGACAATATTTTATTATGGCATTGTACTTTGTAGCTGCAGTTGGTTTAAAGACATGAATATAAAGAACTGATGTGCAGTGGTGTCTATAATAAGGGTTACTATAGTAAAGTGAATAGTTTTGAATATGGAATTGTACATTTAACCATTTACCTCTTTATTTTTTATGTTAATTAATTGTCAGTAGAAAGCTAAAAAAAATATTAATTAAACAATTTAAGATGGAAGGCAAGCAAGGGTATAATTGTCTTTTTTGTTTTTTATTTTAAAACAAAGAGATTATTTAAACAGCTATAGATAGAAGGCAAGTAGGGTATACTTGTCTTTTTTGTTTCAAGTTGGGAGAGTAAGTAAACAAGTTAAAGGAAAATCTTTGACAATGAGTGTAATCAGGGGTATTTTTGTATTTTTTGTTTTGTTTTATTTTAAAACAAAGAGATTAATTAAACAGTTTAAGATGGAAGGCGGACAGGGGTATAATTGTCTTTTTTTCAACTCAGGAGACTAAGTAAACAGGTAAAAGAAAAATCTTTGACAGTTAGTGTAATCAGGGGTATTTTTGTCTTTTTTTGTTTTTTATTTTAAAAGAAAAAGATTATTTAAACAGTTATAGATAGAAGGAAAGCAGGGGTATAATTGTCTCTCTTTTTTCAAGTCAGGAGAGTAAGTAAACAGGTTAAAGGAAAATCTTTGACAGTGACTGTAATCAGGGGTATTTTTGTTTTTTTTATTTTAAAACAAAGAGATTAATTAAATAGTTTAAGATGGAATGCAAGCAGGGGTATAATTTTCTTTTTTTCAACTCAGGAGACTAAGTAATATGGTTAAAGAAAAACTTTGACAATGAGTGTAATCAGGGGTATTTTTGTCCTTTTTGTTTTTTATTACCAAATATAATATGTAATAAGTATTTATAGTTTTCATTTATCATATCCAAAGATATTATGTAATAAAACGCAGCCTAGTTGGTCAATGAAGATGGATTTACCACATATTTATTCTGGAAGAATATAGGTTCGAACCCCACTCAAAAAATTTTATTATTTTTTAGTAATTTTTTTTATAAATTACATGTTTGCTAACTCTGTCACACACTAGATAATTTCCTTCATATATTTATTAAATGTTTTTTATAAATTACATGTTTTTTTTATAAATTACATGTTTATTATTTTTTTATTTATTCCTTTATCATTACGTATTTTCCTTCATATATTTTCCTTTTTTTCGATATATCGTTGATGATCCATACGCATTGACTGAATATGCGTATTCATTCAATATGATTTTTCTTTGAAGCATTCTCTTGTCAATACAAACTCGTTGCTAATACAGAAATACTTCTATACAAGACATTGATACAAGTACGCATATATCACATTTATATAAGTTCTTGAACGAAATAAAAAACAACACTTAATATAAGACTTTTAGATATTTGGTTTGATAATGAATTTAATTAGTATCCATATTGTTGGATTAGTGTCTAAGTCCATAACTATAATTGGTATGTACTTGACCCGATTTGGCATGGTCCGTTTGGGTTGCATGACATCGGAACAATTTGGATAGACTTTTGTGAGAAAAGGATATTTATGATTTATTAATATATTAATCTGAAATCATATTATTTAATTAGTAGTGATCAAGAATTAATTTGGAATTAATTTTGTGATCAAAAGAGACTAACTAAATATATGGGGATTGATTATGTAATCATTCATTCTTATATATGTGGGCTTATGACCATAGTTCTTCATGTTGGGCTAAACCCATGGGGTAATCCATGGATACTCCATGGAGGTTAAAACCCATGGATCATGAGTCATATGGAAAGTCATGATTTACATGGTGTAACCCTAATAGCCACAATATATAAAGACCCCATAGCTCAAGAAATCAGCCCTAAGGATTCACATGAGACGGCTAGTCGATTTTGAGCATTATAACTTTTCTCTCAAGTTATTCCAATTTGTTGGTGGTGCTGTGTGAGCCATTTGAGGTGTCACATTTGGGGCACTAGGCTCTAAAGCTCCATGGAATCAAGCTACAACAAAGAGGTATGTCATTCTACTAGATTCTTGTATTGTATATACTTCATATTATGTTAGTTAGGATGAAACCTTGGAATATTGAATATTTGCATGTATAATAGAGAAAACATAGATCCAAGGTTTATAAGGTTGTATGTGCACCATAGGATGTTGGTAACATTAGAAAACCCAACAGTGGTATCAGAGCCAAGGCTTGTTTTCAATTATACTTAATGCAAACTGCTGAAAAAATCGATTTTCTGGCTATCTGGACTGTGGACTCGCCAAGTCCATGAACAAATTCATCCTACTCGTCGAGTAGGTTCATACACTCGACGAGTATGAGGCCCAGATTGCAGATTTTCGACTTTTAAGGCTGTAATTGGACTAGGAACATTACCCTAAGCTGTTTTTGAACTAATAAACCTGTTTTTGATGTGGTAATGATCATGCTATTCCAATTTCAAAGATAATTATCATAATTTCAAGATTTGTATTAGTTCATATGTTCATGCTAATTTCTTGAAGATTGATAATTTGAATTATTTTGTTCTTATGAGTTAGTTTAGATTAATAGAAAAATTATGTGATAATTTGTTTTCGATCCAAATTAATCTAAAAGTTGTTGATAATATGTGTTTTTGTAACTTGTCCTCAAGTTATATGAAAAGTCACATTTATGATTTTTAAAACTCATAAAATTTTTCCATAAGTTATGAAAATAAAGAGTCTCATTTTTAAATGTTTTAAAATCTTCCATAACTTGTCCTCAAGTTATGGAACTTGAAGAGTTTTTCATTAAACTACTTTAAACTCATAGGTTATGGAAATCAAAAGTTTTTGAATTGTTCAAAACTTGCCCTCCAGTTTCGAAATTTGTAAAGTCCCCCGCCCCCATGAATACTTTAATTCCAAGTTAAACCCTTAGAATTTTAATAGTTTAAAATTCAACCCTTATACTATTATAATATTATTAGGTTTAATATATATATTATATATATATATATATATATATATATATATATATATATATATCTATATATATATTGTGTGTGTGTGTGTGTGTGTATAAGAGTAAGTCAGTCTTACCGTTAGTAGGCCTCATTCACGAAGCCGGTCTATAAGGGGGTATAAAGTTACTACCTATAAAATGGCAGTTTAATTGGTGTCCACTCTCACCCACCGCTTCCTTGACTGGTGAAGGGTCGTTAGCCGAACGGGTATGACAGAATTTTAATTCTCCCTTCATTAAAAGTATGATGATAAATACTAAGTAACTAAACACTTATAAATTCCCAATCTTAGTTACTTAGGAAAATGTGAATTTGGTGCTAACCCATGAAATTGCACTTTGCACCTTGTTAAGTCGTTAGTGGAGCGTGTTTGGTTAACCGACACACTAATCTAGAACTGACAAAGTGTGGCAAAGGGTAGCTTCATGTTAATCATAGATCAATGGAGCGTGTGTGGTTAACCGGCACATTGATTAGGTGGTTGTAACATTAAGTGTAGCAAGTTAATTTGCATGTTTATTCACTCCTTGTTTGTGATCCTCGGCATCCCAAACACACACTTGAAGGGCACAATCGAGATTTAAACATACCATTGAATAGTTCAATGAATCTCAAAAGATCTAGGAGTTTCAATTCATTTAAAACCTAATGTTAAATTTTGTTTTTCATGGTGGAAATTGGTAAATCGTCATTTACCTACCTTCAAATATTTTGTAGCTTGGATTACAACATCCCTCTTCCAAGTTATAAAATAATTGTTTTGGTCCTAGCCTTTATATTTCGTATTGGGTGTTGTATTAAGGACTTAAATCAACTAAACTTGAATTCCTCCCACATTGATGTCTAGTTATGACAACTATGGTCTTCCTTATCCTTTTTGGATAAAGCTTTCCTAATGAAGATGATATCTCAAATGACAATCAAGGTGAAAGATTAATCCCTTTGTTGTGCATTAATGGGACTGGAAATCATAATTCACTTCCTCCACCTCCTCCAATTATTCTCCCTAACCCACGAGTTCTTGAATAGTTCAAGGTTACTCAATCCTTATTGGCAAGCAGTGTCTATATGTGCTCACATATTGGAGATGAAGTCTCATATTGACAAGCTGGGAGAGTTGGGTGTCGAAGTCTCAAGGAAGTTGGCTGTTGACTGGGTTCTTCAGTCAATTCCTAAGTCATATAGCGGGTTCTTTAAAGGACTACTATGTGACAGACCACGACATGACCCTTAAATGATCTTACCTATTTGCTTGTTGCTGCTGAATCAACAATGATTTGGGGAACTGGTAAAGCAAATTTGATTGGAAGATCTACTTCCCAAACTCTCATTGACATTGACAATGGAAACGTTGGAATTCAAGAAAAGTCTTCTCTTCCCAATGGAAAGAGATCGGCCATAGTCAACCCGGTTGACCAAATGGTAAAGAGAAAGGCTTAGTATGAGAAAGTCCCATCTACCATTACTAAAGAGTCCATAAGTTTCTATTGTTAAAAGAAGGGGCATTAGTTGCGAAGCTGCCTTATTTACCTGAAAGGTCACTAGGATGGTAAAGGTAAAAAAAAAAGTTACTATGCTTCAGGTAAAGTCCACTATCTAACTCTATGAAGTTCCTATTTGGAGATTCTTATTACATGATGTGACTAGGTTGCATTTTGATGTTTTAAGAATCAAAGAAAAGAGAGGAAGCGTAAAGGAAGAGTAAGCTGATTTTGATCGTGAATAGATGGATTTCGATCGCATGGTTCGATGATCAGAATTTTGAGCTGCTGCTTAAGAGTTATGAC